GCTTTCTCCAAAATGAAACTTTTTGTCTTAAGCTGAGGGACTGTTTCCAACATGTCCTTGATTGTGAAACCACTGGAAGGGGCTCTTTGCAGAGCTGCTCCAGTTTGGGCAGTCTTCTCCAATGGCTCAGCACTGTTCTCCATAGAGCATCCAAGCAGAGAGATGCAAGGATGAGTCTTAAATGCAGACTCTGGAAAAGTCTGTGTTGCCTTGATTTCCAGAAACTGGAATACAAATAAAATATAAAACTGGGGATGCCAGTTATTTAACTTCTAGAAAGGACTGTGAAAAAGTGTTTTGAAAGTGTTGAAAGCTGTTCTGCTGACAAAAAACCCCCACCCTGTTATCAGAAATGTTCTCCTTCATAAAATGGTGTTTGCTGATTTACACAAAACTGTTGACCTTTTCTGTATCAAAATGATCAGAAAATTATTAAAATGATCAGTTTTTCTTATTCGTGTTTGGGAGGAGTTTCAGGCTCCTGCTTTATGCTCAAGCTACAAATACAGCCCTGCTCCAGTGCTTCATTACTTGTGTTTCCCACTATCCTGACATTTGGATGGAAAAATAAAAATTCAAATCCACTCAGCAGCTAGAGCAACATTTTAAATGCAAGGCATCTCCTTCATCACGAGCACAGACACACAGAATAATTACCTCAACATTTCACATAATAATGACAAAGAGGGGTTTCTATTCCATGCCAACTTTAAGACAATCAAAGGTGCCTGCAAAATACAGGGATGTTTCTCCTTTGCATCCTTCTATTTGAATGTTAAATTCTTCCGCCACTGTCCCAAACCTGGAAAACACTTCCATACCTATAAGCAAATGCTCAACTTCTACTCAGTGGGAACAGGACCCAGAGTGAGGGACCCAGTCCTTATCCAAGCATGTGCTTTCCTGCTCTCTCAAACCAAGGTCTTCTGCAGGTATTTCACAAATCTAAGTGTAGGAGGGTCCGATTCAAAATCAGTGGAAGTTTTTCTCCAACTCTGGGCAGTGATCCAATCCTGAAAAAGCCCCATTTAAAAAAAAAAAAAAAAAGCAACTGTCCCACAGAAATCAATGGGAATAAGGCACTCAACTTTTGCAGATGAAATACCCTGTTGTGACCCATTCTAATTCCTCCACTTCTTGCATAAGGATCTCTCAGTTTGGCTTCTTCCAAAACAAAGACATGTTTCAAAGTATGCTTTGCATGGACAGGAATTGATAACAACCTCTCACACATTCATGCGTTTTTTTCCTCTCGTTGCTCTTGCAGAAAAAGGACAGGAAAAATCTTTTTAAAGTACAGAGTACAAAATCCCTCTCCTACCTAGAAACTATTATATAAAACTCACAACCTGGTGATTTGAGAGAGCGCTCTGAAAACACTCTTTTGCCATTTGTCACTGGTTTATCTTCTTTTTCTCCCCATTCTTTCCAGTTTCAGCTGGAAGGGCAGCAGCTGTGCTTAGTTGGAAGCAAAACCATTTTACTTAGAACCTCTTCAAATTGCAAGGATGTTGACTGATGGTATTCTGCTATTCACAAAATGTCAGCCCATTACTATATGCAACACACTGTAACATGGTATGACCTCATGTACAAATGTCAGAAGCTTGTTCATGAAAACAAAGAAAGTGTAAATCAGCAGTCTGCTAGCTCATCTCTCCTCCCTTTCCATATAACTGGTCTAAGCAGGCAGTTAACTTAGCAGAACAAAATTAATGAAATAGTCTGACTGAAATACTAACGGAGATAATACATGAACTGGCAAAATTTCTACAAAGCTGAAGTTACAACTGAATTGTGGGTGACAGACTGCAGGAGTTGTAGGACCATCTCAGATTTGTGCTTGGGAATTTAATAACCATTTTTGTTAAAGATACGTGTTTCCAATGTTTTGAAAATCCGGCTGCAAAATGATTTTTTTACTTTGACCTGTTGCTCTTCTATACGCACTGTTAACCTTCCCGTAAAATTTCTGGATTAACAATACATAAGTCTTCACACAGATCTTTAAAAAATTAGTTATGGGCTTGCTCCAGGAGTTATTAAGTGAAGTTTTACAGTCTGCATTATATAGCAAGTAAGATTAGATGATCTTAGTGTTCCCTTCTAGACCTAAAATCTATGAACATGTATTCTTAGAAAGAAAACAAGTCTCAGAATGGTTAACCCTTCAACTTCAGAAAGGGAAGGAGTAAAATATGATTATTTTTTTTATTTAAAACGTGCACTAGAGTTGTCTTTAGTAAGTGGCAATGCCTAAGCCTGCAGAAACATATCACCAGGCTTCATGCAAAGCAGTCAGGCATTGTACAGAAAGTTCAGCCCAATAAACAATGCAGAAATGCATAAGAACGTGTCTTTTGTATGAGACAGCACACACAGCATGGGCAGTCAGTACTTTGGGGGAATGGACAGGCAGGATCCACCACTCACAGCCTACTGGCTGACTCGGCACTCACACAGATGACAATAAAGAGGCAAAAAACGTCAAACCTTCTGAGGAGCTGTGAAAAGCACCAGAAGAAAAATGTCACAGGAGTGTAAATCATCCACTAACAGCCTGAGAATATCATTTTGTCTGTAGATGGAAAAAGAGCAGTCATCTCCTCCAAGAACATGCATAACGAAAAAGAAGATGCTTCTAAGAAGCCCACTAAATGGGTACGGTCCTGCCCACATGTTCAAGTTTCTCACAAAAAATATTGGTGCTTCTTTCACCCACTAGCTCCCTGCTATGGAAAAACACTTCTTCAGAGTCTGGAAAATGCTGTTTGATCTCAGTAAATTACATCTCACTGCTTGTCGGTTTCTGATTGATGGTGTAACTTAGGGAACAATATCTGTGTGTGGAATACTGTCTGGAGAAGCAGTCAGGGATTATTGAAAATACAGTATTTATGCAGTTTAAAAATCAGTGGCACATTACGCACAACTTTTTTCTGGAGTGATGAAAAATTACTGAAGTGCATTTGGGAACAAAGGGTATAAGGTCTTTTGTCTATTTGTAAGAACACTCGACTGGTAAGACTTCTTAGTGAGTTAGTAGTGATGGATGCAAGAAAAAGCGTCAACCGCAGTTGAGCATAAAGCCAACTGCTTCTCCAACCAATGAGCAGAAAGGAAGACGTCAATGTTCAGTGGTGGTCAGAGAAGAGGGAAGAAAATAAAACTGAAGAAAAGAGCAGGAAAATGAACCAAGGATCACTGATTTCTCTAAGCCATTTAAAACTACTGGAGAAGGTGGAAAAGTCTAAGGTTTCATCACATCACGTGTTGTTTCTTCATCTATCTGATATGCCACAATTAGTTGGAAAACTTACAGAAACCAGCCGCTCCGAAAGAGCAGCCACTTCCTCAGCATGAATCACTCTGGAGTTACTGAATTCAAAGGCTCATGCTAATTTACATCAGCCACAGGTATGACTTCATACACATCTCACCTTCCAAACCTTCATTTCAGTCCTTAAGGTCCTGTCATGACACAACCACCATATTCTTCACCACAACAGAAATGCAACAGACACCAGGACATCAGCCACAGAAAGGCCATGACTGAAAACAATTACGGAACCTATGCAACATGCATACTTCCATCAGATATAAAGAGAAGAAGATTAATCTCAAAGTATAGAGGCATCAGAGAAGCAAATGAGGATGGATGCTGTTGCCAGTGGTATGACTCTGCACAAACCTAAAAAAAACCACACAAAAATTTGGCAGGTGTAAAGTAAACAAAAAGAAATACTTCCTACAGATGACAAAAAAATTAAACTGCCAAATTCACTGATTGCTACAGAGAGACAAAAAGTGTGAAAAGCTTATGGAAGGGTTAACTCAATTCACGCAGTGCAGGTCTACCGCTTGTAACTGAAACGATGGCTCAGAGGTAATCAACAGCTCAGGACACCTTTGAATGCTGTAGGAGTGTGAGGATTTTGGACACACAAAGCAGGATCACCCTACTCTTTCTCTGTTCCTCTTCTTATTGTCCTAGCATCAGTTACTGTCCTGTTCCAGGGATAGCGAAGCAGCTCAATGGAGCTGGTCTACTCCAGGAGGGCCATGTTAACACCTGTATGTGCACTCCACCTGCTACCGGAGCAAGGGAACAAGGAAGTGAGAGAGAAACGTCAAAACCACAGGGTAAATTCACCAACTCATTCCTGGTAATTATTGCAGATTACAGCAATCCTTAGGAGAGCCAAGAAACACTGGATATGAAAAGAAAAATGTATCTGCAGTAGTTTTAAATAAAGTAACGTGGTGTGATGAGTTTGAAAGCAAACAAGGAAGCAAGTCTGCAAAGGACTTTACAACATGGCTGTGATGAAGGAATCGTTCCTGCACATGGTTCAGAAAGAAGAGGACAGCAAAGGCTCAGTGGGAGCCTTGTGGAAAAAAACATGGACAGTATTTCTGAGAAGACAGGAAAGATAATTCTGTGGTCGGGGCCAAGATAATTTTTTGTTGCTGTGAGGGAGCCAGGTGGTGAGCACCAAAGACTGCACCTCGAGTGACCCTTTGTACAACATAGAGACACACACCGGAGCAGAAAGGTACGACTAACTGCACTCCTGAACCACGAGACTTCTGAAGTATGAGCTTGCACTACTGCACAGCAGCAGCCTTACACTGCCACCCCACAACAAGCGTTCCAGAAAACGGCCATCATCTTGTAAACACCTACTTTCCAATGCCGGGGTTCCTTCCCACCCATACCTCCTGGGTGCCTGCCCCAAGGCAAGGCGGTCCCAGACACCCCCGTGGGTGCACTTACCTCTTGCTTTCGACTCCGAGTAGGAGGGGGTGTCCTCAGAGGTCAGGATTTGGGGGAGACAGGTGGGAGCGCCAACCCCCTGCCCCAGGTAGGAAGCAGGTGGGTAGTAGGAGCACATGCGGTACTGGGAGCTGACAGCATGGCGGCCCTCCATGCCCTTCACCTGTCGGAGAGAAAAGTGCAACAGCAGCCTGTGAAAGCTGAGCCCTGGATCCAGCCTGGCCTCCCAATGGATGGTTTATCCTACCCAAGGTGAAGCCACATCTGGCACATAAGCATGTACCCTTCACTGCAAGGAGCTTCCTGGCAAGTCCCCCGCTTACGGCACAGAGAACAGCACAGCAAGCTTTCTAGACCCCTTCAACTGCATGCATCTGGCCAGCATCAGGGGTAAAGTGTCCATCCAGTCCCTACACTCCCCACAGAGACTAACCCATTTCAGACTCGTGGTAACTGCTCTGCCAGGGACCTACGGGGTGGCTAAGAAGGACAGTCCTACAGACCCGACTCACTTGGGACACGCTCCATGGTATCTGAGCAGTGACACGTGCACACGAACACTATGCTTTTACAACCCAGCGAGATGGGAAGAATATTCTCCTGATTTACCCCGAGAAACCAAGTTGTGGACAGACTACACAGGAAGCCTGTAGGGGAGCCACAGCTGGACACCAGCCAGCAGGTCCACTGTGTCAGCACTGTGTCCACCAGACAACCCCTTTGCCCTCCTGCAGCCTGCAGCAAAGTTGGCAGCACTCAGAAATCAAAGTTTATCCTACTCCAGTGCCCTCAAACCATCCAAACTGACCTTTTTAAATTTTTGTCTTACCAAAGAACTACCACCTACTATTACTTGTTCCAAAGCCCTAGAAGGTAAGGTGGCTACAGTGGTCCAAGCAATGTTTTTTTCAGCAGGACAGGTAACATTACCTGGTGTCCGGGCAGAGAAGTTTTGCACCAGGTATTAAAGGTAGCAGTGCCAACAGAAACACATATCCTCAGTTATGCCATTAGATGTTGCCTTCGCAAGCAGAAGTGCCTGACAGCCTTTTCAGCCACATCTCACCTCGGTTAGAGGAGCTCTGCCCGTCGCATTGCGGTCCCCTCGGGTCCCAGCCAGCCATGCGCGGAGCCCCGCTCCTCGACCCTTCCTGGGCTGCGATGCTCACACGCAGGCAGCAGCGGAGGCAGGGGGTGAACCTGCTGTCCCATACAGCTGCTCCACACCAGCAGATCCCCCAGGCTCTAGTCCTGGCTGAAGGAACCACTGGCACCTCCCAGCGAAGCAGCCAGAATGCAGTCACTCCTTGTTTTCCAAGGGTCCCCCCCTTAATAATTGGATATTCATTTTAGTATGCCTAGCTGGAAACAATGTGGCCCGAGTTGCATAAAATCCTACTGGTGGTCTCTGAGACAGAGGGCAACATCCCACTTTCCATGTGGAGCCAGGGTGGCAGCGAGACTACGTGCTGCGAGAGAGAGCGGTGGCTGTTGACAAGAAGCAAAGCGCACCTCTGCCCATCTTCTGACAGCAGCACAGTTGCACGTATTTGCACATGTACTGAGGGACCAGCAGAACATGCTCTTAGCCTGTGAAAGTATGAGTTCTTCTGTTATAAATTAAAGCAATACTTAAAAGGTGATTTTTCTACCACCCTCTGCATGCAGAAAAAGGCTAACATGCACCAAAGTTTCACTCATGATAAACAGTAAATTGTTCTTAAAAAAATTAAATATGCCATCCCAAGGAATCCTGAACTCGAAAGAGACACTGACATCCCCTCTGCTGTTCTGAAAAAGGGCTGTCTCCTCTGGGAAACAGACATCTGTGCTTTGCACAGACTCCCTCAACAAAACCCAGGTTGCCTCTGCCCTGAAATTATGGATTGGCAATACAAACTGCCAAAAAGCTCAGTCCACAGGCCGTGCTGAACCTGCGCGTCCGCAAAGCTCAACAACTCTAGAAGTACTGGGGGAAAAAAAGTTCGCAAACTTCTCTCTGCCTGCTGTTTCACACACACCATCTTCCTTCCCTTGGTGGGGCAGCATCTGCGGTCCTCACATCTCCACCTCTCCCTTCGGCAAGTGCGCATGTACGCACATGCAACGGAGAAAAGGGTGCCTGCAGGAGACAGCACTATTGCAGCCGTACCAAAATGGGGGGATCAACTCCCCGGCACCAAAACGACCACGTGCATGTTTCCTCTCCCTGTAGAGTGGACGCAGTGACCCGTTTCCCTTCAAACCTTTTCTAAGTGTTTTTCCTCCGTTTCTTAAAAAAACAGCTCACCTAAAATCTCTGGATGCAATGAATTATTACTACTATTATTATTAGTGTGTGGTAGCTGGCTAGCAAGAGACATGTTTTATAATCTTATTACCCACACCACGTCTATGAACCACAGTTCGACCGACAGCCAAAGGCTTGGCTCTGCAAAGAATATGCTGTGTATTAACCGCTGAAGAAAATCTAAAAGCTTTTGGTTTTGTTTTATTAAACTGTTTAGAATACACACCGCAGTAAATCTGAACCATAAGGTTTCCTTTTTATAGCGCTTAGCAATCCTATTTTACAGTAACAATAAAAAAACAACCAGTCATAAAAATTCTGGACCTTAGCGCTACATTAAAAAGGGGGCTCAGGCGATCATTACCCCATGAGAAAGGGCATTTGCTCCTGCAGCTCTGGAGACTCCTTCCACATTTTTGGGTGCCAGAAAGAGTGACAAAAACAGGCCTGGGGAAGCCCTGGATTATTTGGGTTATTTCTAATCCGGGGCAGTCCAGCCTTCCAAATGCTGCAGCCAGGTAGCAGGTTTGGGATCTTTCCCTGGGTCCTGTCCTGGGGGACCGCTGCGGCCATGCAGGCATCACAGGAGATGCCGGCCCCTCTCGTGTCTCCTCCTGCTTCCCTCACCCCTTCCAGCCCTACAGCAAGGCCAAGACAGACATAGGGCTGGGACGGTTCCACAAGCCACTCCGGTCTGTATCACTGCAGGATACGTGCCGTAAGAATAAGGCATGTTTTGGGGTGAGGGAGTGCTGTGGAAGGTAAGGGCACATACTTGCTCTCTGCAGAGAGCAAGTTGAGCTCCTGACTGGAACACCTGAGCTGCTCACTTACAGTGCATCCCCTTCCAGCCACACATCGCTCGTGCCCTGCCCCAGCTGCGGGATCGATTCACCAAGTGCCTCACTGACTTCGGGGGGAGACACAGATCATCGGAGACGCACATTTAGCCTATTACAGGTTCCCCTAAATTGTGCAACACAGCACACTCCCAGTAACTTTTCAAAGGATGTACTGCAAGCAGCAGTGGGATGCTTATAACTCATGAACAAGTAAATATGGCCTGATTAAAAGACCATGTACACAGTGGAAATTCTTCCCCTGTTCCCTTGTGAAGCCAATACAGGGAACCAAGAGGCAGCTACAGCTCGTCCACAAACAGGCAAGCTGGAAGCCAGATTTGTCTGTCACTGAGCACAGCAGTCAGTGCAGCCCTACAGCAGTGTCCAACAGTGACAGAGTATGCAGCAAAAGCCAGGGAAGCATCAAGAAAATGCTCTTGCATCAGTTCAGACCATCCCTACGAACTTCCCAACAGCTGGTGGAACAGCAACATAAAGCCCAGCTCCTCCTTCCAAGCTCCTGGAAGCATCTGCACAACCTCTACACATCTTCTTCATGGAGGAAGAGCCGAGGAGAGGAGGTGGCCAAACCAGAGACAGAAAAGCGGCAAGGCAGACACAAGTAGTGGCTCAGTTCTCCTTACAGCTTCAGAGACTAGAAAATGGTCCTGCCCTTCCCAGATGATTTATTCAGACAAAACATCACCCAGGTAATTCTTTTATTTGCAGAAGCTGCCATCCACAAGCTCCCTACGAGCAAGCCAGCATTACTCTTAGCAGCGCCTTCACATTTTGCAGCTGATCCTGACTATGGAGCTTATTCCCATGTAAGAGGAGGCTGCGGATGGTAATCCTGGGTGACGAGGGCTGCAAAAAATTCAGAGCAAGAGAAGAGATCAAAGTACTGTCCTTCGGCTCTGCCTCTGGTGCGCCACCTGATCTCGGCCAAATCACTTTACCTAGGCTTTCTATCTGCCTCACCCATAGCTGCCTTAAAACAAAAACAGTAACTATGGAAACACCAGAGAAACTCTGTTGTAAGTTTTAACATAACCTCCTCCTTCTGCTTTGATCTTAAAAATAAAGCCAGCTTCAGGGGGCATCAAATCGCATTTATGTGTCGTTGTTTGCAAACAACAGAATTCACAGGTTGTTTTTTTTGGCATGAGGCGAGAAGGTATCCACTGGGCACTGGAGTGGAAATCCAGGCATCAGGAATCTCCACTCTTTCACCTGTGTGCTGTGTGACTGTGGGCAAGTTATTTAACACTTCCCTGCCTCAGTTTCCCCAGCTGCAAAGCAGGGCTGCAGCAACTCTCCCATATTGCAATGCTACTGCCCATGAGCTGACCCCTCACAACTACTGCTGCACTCGCGCTGCCCAAGGTGGCTTTGTTTCATTCCTAAAACCAGCTAAGCATATTTTCCAGCATGAGGGAAAAACGAGTCTATGATACCCTGCCTTGACTTTGATTCTAGCACTGAAAATACGAGAGACATCTATATCTGTCCCTCCTTGATAGACAAACTTAATTAACCTTTGCTATTCTGTTCCAACCTATTCTTTTAGACAAAGGCAGTGACCCATAAACAATATGTTACCATCAGAATCTCAACTGCGGTGACACCTAGAGATATAGCCCTATCAGCAGTATCGGAAAATAAACCGCTTAGATTAGCTCCTCCAAGAAATATGGATTGCATTCATGTCACACATGAGCTGTCAGAAACATTAGGATACTTTTAGCATAAATCTGTAGTGTGAAGGGTATGTTATGAATACAGTATATAATACACTGCTTACACATAAAATTGGGATTGTGTTGGGTGACTTGGACAATGTGCATGTATTTACACACAAACACACACAGAGCCACACATATATTTTCCACATTTTATACCTATTTCTGGAGAGTTAGACTGCACATTTCTGTAAGAAGGCCAGGCTTATTGGAGGAAAAACTACTGGAGGAAAACTGTGCCAGAAACTAGAAACAGGTTGTGGAAGTTGAAAAGAGCAATCTTTTTTAC